TATATATATATATATATATATATATAGCCTTACCTTGTCCCACAGAGGATGCTGCGGGACCCCTGAACTCCGCAGGCGTCTGATTTTTGCAGTTAACGCTGAACAGAAAAGGACAGCAGGTGTAATACAAACGGGATTATGCTAGGCAGAACCCAGCTGATGTGAAGTGCGAACACACGCCAATATAAGATAGGCGATAAGGAAGCGATGAGCCCAACATGGGCGAACTGAGATGGCAGAGAGCCCACAAGTCATGAGCACGTGCAAGATATCAAAATAATTAGAGAGCATCCCTAAGGTTCCAGGGACAAAGCGATAACTCCATACAATAATTCACGTGAATGCAGCGGCGAAGGACGGAAGTAAAATTATACGCAAAACAACTTCCACGTGCATGCATAAATAAGTACCGTGTAAGGGCGGGTAATCTTGCATCATTGCTACGAATGTCCCACGTGTACGGCTGTGGCTGTTGACATCCTCCACGTTAGTATTGGTGTTCTCGCATGCTAAAGGATTTGTTCACTCTTGCCACTCTGCCTACTATGTGTTTAGATGCATGACGGCATTTGACTATGTTTGTACTACGTCTTCATTGATGCATATCTACTCACGTGAACCTAGACGTCGGCACTGATGCTTGATATCGTAACTAGCAGTGCGGATGTATGCCTTTCAGGGTAATACTTTAATGAGAATGAAGAACAGAAAGGGAAGGTGAGCACAGCAAATACCCAACTGCACTCCACGGCTTCGTCGCAATAGTTGCAGACCAAACGTAAGGCCCGGTAGATACACTAGAGCAGATGACCCATAACATAAGAAACTTGTCGGCACGTACTGATCATTTCACTAGAGGGGCTTACTGGACTGCATTACCATCGGCTGTACGTAAACAGCGCTGCGGTCCAGAAAAATTCAGAGAGAGGGATCAGTTACACGAAACTGTGTGGGACATGGGAAGAACTAATAACAGCGCACTAATGCCGCACCTTGCTGAAAGAGAGAACGGGCCAAAAAGGACTTCCCCTGCAGACTGTTCGTTACTCTCTCCTCTATGCGCTGAAATAGGCGGGGAACGCTGCACCAACAACGGAAAGAAAGCAGCGGGTAATGCCCTGTCCCTCCACCTTGACAAGCAACTGCATGCATGCAGCCAGTTAGCCTGGCATAGTATTGTTCTTAGATATGCAGCTTCACATGACGAAGGGCCCCAAAAGAAGCAAGGAGCAGCTAGTTTTCGTGCTCTCAAAGCAGTGAGCATTTGCGCGACTTCATGTTTAAACAAGAGAAATAACAAACGCATTTTGCCTCCTCCTACCTACAGAAGACGGTCGGCTTCAACGCCTGCACATCGTCGAGCAGTTTGTGTGTGTTCTGCGGAACAGCAAGGCAACATCTAAACACAAGCAAACACCAATGAGGGTTGCCACAGATGTGCAGCATCTGTTCAAAAGGGAAGAGGAGGCTGAGTCTGGAGCGGTCAGAGCCCCAACACCCAGCAGTAACGTCTCGCTCCTGTACTTCATATGTATCCATTACTTTTCGTCCGCTGCCCGTTTATATTTCACGCTATTCCGTTCCTCTACAACGAAAAGGGAAACTCTGCAGTTTTCCTTTTCGTTATAGAGGAACAGAATAGCATGCAAACGACGTAAGCTGCAGCCAAGACCCGGGGCGACCGGCAAACAGCGTAAAGTAGCTCTTATCTATTTTACGCCTGGTAGTTCTTTTCTACCAGGCAAGGCCAGCATGCCACATACAATAGGAAGTACACGCAACAGATATACTCTATACGTGTGTAAGTGAACACAATGCACTAATCGTGCGTACGTGTACACATCACATGCACAAATATATGCATGTACACAGATATATGCACCTGTGTGCACTGCATATCTGCATGCTATTTTCATGCAGCTGAACGCCCAACGTCTATACCAAAGTATATACAAGAAACTGCAAACTCTACCATGCAAGGCAGCTCGGCTAGTGCCCCCCTCTACAGAAGCCGTCCTTATGCCCATAAACAGAGGAGAAGTACATATGTAAATACATTATCTGCTCTACGCTCATGTGGCCACGCATGTGCTTCCCTAAGTCGGGCACCTCATTGGCCTGCATCTGAAAAAGTGGGATGTGTATGCACATATTCTGCAAAGTCTTTTCGACCTAGTGTTTCTAGAAGCATACTCCTGAATAGAAGCCAACCCTGGCGCCGTAGCTGAAGAAGAGGTTCTCACAGAAGCGCTCGTAGACATGAGCCAAAGGCAAGTACGAAATGAGGCAGTCGGAGGAGTACAAGTTGAGGCCAAACTCGTGTAGAGCTGTCCGCGTATAAAAAACAAAAGAACAAGCACACTAATCAGTAATGTAAGTACCACGTATCTATGAAACAAATAAGCTGGACGCAAAAATGGATAAACTTGTGGATTGGCTCGCAAGTGCACACAGAAACCCACACCTCAGGTGCACCTAGCGGAACAAGCAACGCGTAAGAACGCAGAAAACGGACAGTGAGCTAGGCGCATCAATATATTCAACACAACCACCAAATGAACAGCGAAAGATACCGGAAAAAGCAAAGTCGGCATATAGTGCAAACAGCCAACACAATTAGGACGGTTGGTTCTGCTTGCTGCAGGAATTCTGCTGACAAAAAACTGAAAGAAAGGCATAAACGATGACCAACTCGGATGGCGGAAAACAGCCGAACCAAACAAAAGGGAGAAGGGGAGAAGCAAAGGTATCATGAGCGGCAACAATCAGAATTAACAGAAGGGTGGAATCAAGTCAGCAAACCAAAGTGAATAGAAAAACCAGCGGCGGGATAGTCAACACACGAGGACGACAAACAGCAAGGGCAGTCGAGTCGAAAAAACTAACACAAGAAGCATGAGACCAACTACATACACACAGGATTCCAGAAATATCATTTTATTCATAAGCCGGCTCAAGAGCCGAAGCAGTAAAAATCTGCGGAAGTACGCAGCAACGAGCAAGAGAGAACGGCATGAAAAACAAGCAAGCACATACGGGGGCAGAAGAACGAACAGAACAAACGAAGCAAAAACGGAGGCAGATAAACTCACGGCCCTCCACAGCTGTCGCGACCGCCGCCACGAAATTCCCGTGGGACATCATCACTCCCTTAGGACTGCCAGTCGTTCCTGTGCAGTACATGGCTCCCCAAACCCTGAACAATAGACCCTAGTTTTGATATGGGAAACATCCACAGTCGCTAAAATGCTGTGGGACCGCGGGGAAAACAACCCGTTGCAAATGAAGCAGACGGCAGACGCATAGAGAAGAGTAGCCAGCTGGCTGCGCTCACTAGCCTAGTTTGCTAGGCAGCTAGCTGAAAGGCTCTGGCCAGCTAGTCAGCTGCCCCTGTCCCCTGCCCCATGCCGTCTATCCACTTTGCTAACCAGCTCTGTCACTTGTTAGCGTGTCGGTTGTCTAGCGTTTTGGAGAGCTCGCTGTGCGCGTGTGACCAACTAGCTAACTCGCTAGCTAGACAAGCTATCTATAAATGGGGTTCACTTGCCTGAGGTGTAGCAAATAGTGTGGAGGGATTCCAGCGTAGGCTGCACCTCGTCAGAAAGAGGCACCATGTTGGCTCTCCCCTGCAGCAGTGTAGATACCAAAAGACATAAGCCCTTGGATGCAGCAATGTGGAGGTAACAGCTTAGAATTTAAGAGTTGAGATGGCCAATCCCTGTTGTCTGCACCTGTATTTATGTTATCGGCTCTTGTGTAGCTGGCTTTAAACCCTCCTCCGCGCTTAAGATTTAAGGGCAGGCTTACGAGCTCGAGGAGGTCTTCCCAGGACAGAAGACGAACCCTCAACGCCTTGGCCTTATCTCGCTGCTCATCTGGGACTGTGTCTAATGTGATAACACACTCCAAAACTATGTCGTTCTCCTGCACCTCGTACTGTTCCTCGCGATACTGCTGCTGCTTCTCCCCGCTGTGCTGCTGCTGTAGAGCATCGAGCAGCTTCACCAAGCATTCCCCATCGCTAACAACTGTCTTCATCTGTGTCTCCCCCAGGATAAACCGTGTGCTGTGGGGCCCCAGGGTGTCGTACAGCGGCACCACAGTCACGCCGTACGCATTGCCTGCCCACAAGCAGCACCTCTTGAATATAAATGCAAATAAAGAAAAACATTTCCAAGTGAATATATATGCGAACACACAAACGTACATGGAGCCATGCTTAGAGTTAAAAGGCACACATGGATCGTCCGTTGGATAAACGGTCCTGCCAACGCTAATCATACAACAATATACGTCTGCGCAAAGGTATGCATGCACACATACACTTATAAATACATACAATATTATCTCTGTGTTTGTGAACAGCATACGTGTACACAAATGGGCATAGACATATATTCACCTACACGTGCGTACAAACCTTTCCACAATAATAATATACGTGTGGTGCGGGTGTACAGTCCTGCATATGGAGAGGCACGTGCGCCCTTCTAACTGAGAAGCAACTATGGAGTCTCGCTGGAAATACCAGGGTTGTGGGTCTAAGGTTATATCCAGTACGACGGGGAAGACTGACAGGCGTGCTCTGTGATAATCCATTCCTCTCGGTTCCTCGCAAAGATGCCTAAACACCTCAAAGACAACTGCTGGCCTCCGGGCTGCTCAAAGTGGAGAAGAGGGACGAAATCTCCATTCAAAAGGCCGCTTCCCGCCTCTAGCGCAAGACGCTCCACCTGCATAAAAACATGCACACGCTCAGGGTGTACGTACACCTCAAGGAAATGCAGACACCCCAGTTTGACCAATACCCTGCAAGGAGACAAAAATGACGGATAGACATCTGCAAACAGAAAGGAAACATTTTGTGCATGCTATGGGGCAAGGGGGTGAAGAAAGGCAGCACAGAAAGACAATCAAATTGGTGTAAAAGATCACTGCAGACAGCGGCACAACTGCAAAGAACGAGATCAGAGAAGACGCACCACCCCAAGCAACTCCACAAGAACACCAGCAACAAAGTAACGACGCGCACGAAGGAACAAATGTGGGCAGGAGAAAACAGACATTCGATTCTGAAGACAGACGAACAGCTACGGGTTGATACACAAACAGAAGTGACACACGCGAGACATCGAAAGGCTATTCGCGCACTCGAGAGCAGAAGAGGCACGCCAAAGCAGAGAAATGCACGTCCTATCATGGCGAAAAGAGACAAAAATGGCATCAGAGAGCTAGGCATGGGAAGACCAATAAAAAATAATTGCAAGCATAGTAGCGCAGTCAAAACAGTGCACTGGAACAGTTGCAATTACACACATCACACCTCTCTGTAAGATTTCCACACATATTCCCCCCTTCGGCCATCGGGTGTAACAAGTCGCGTGCCCAGACAGGGACCTTCAGCCGACTTCCCAACTCCCATTTGAAACAACTCCCACCTGCACATGCGCCTCAGGTGTACACTCTCCCCAGGAATACACGCATCTCAGGTGCACACATGGGACAGGAGTATACACGCCTCAGCGGGGTACACAACTCAGCAGCTGTGCAGATACCTTAGCTAAAAACACAATTCAGCTATTAGACAACCATCTCAGCTGGGCAAGCAACTCGGCTGCTGAACAACCACAATCAATGTACAAAAACATCAAACGTACAGACACATGGCGTGCATGTACACATGACGGGTATGTGCAGCTGAAGGGAAGGAACGGAAGACATCTGAAGTGTCTTCCCTTTATCTTCAACAAAGAGAGTTAAACCAGACCATTTTGCAACCTGAGCTGCAGGTACGCCATAGCTCATAGCCTTTGCGTACGAAGATCCTCCTCACATGCAAACCGAAGTACCCAAAGCCCCAAACACCCATAACAAGGACACGAATACGTCGCTTCTCCGCAGCTCCCGGGGCTTCACTCAGTTTTTGCAGCTGCCGCTATGACAGCTGTTCCTTCTGCAGATACATCCCTAAATGCAGGAAGTGTGCTCCTCACGCATTTTTAACCGGGTTTGTAGAAAAGTTTTCGGCAAGGCGATCTAAAGAAGAATAATGCCGCCGTGGCGGTGTGCGGTCAGCTATACGTACAACCCACATCACATGCAGCAGCAATAGCAGCAGCGTTAAGAAACTATACTACCACATGCCGCATGCGATGCATACGTATCGCGCTACAGTGAGGAGAAAAGCAGCTGCTTTGTGTGCTTTTAGTTCTTCTGATGAACGGCCGTAGGCGCCTCTTCATATTATCACCTTCTTTCATTCTTCATCTAACAACGTAAAAACGAGAAACACGACTGCGCATACTCACCCGTGGATTCGCCGCTGGGTACGCTGACAGAGTACTGCACGTCCTTAGCCGAGGACACAGCACCACCCATCTCCGCAGGGGCCTCTGCAACCAAAAAACAGAAGAATGAGCAGCTCAAAATAGTCACTCAATGAATGATAAATGTAATTTGTAGGCATGTATGCTTAGGAGCTTCGCACCAATGTTCGCTTGCACATCTGTTGTTATACAGTGCATGCAGTGCATATAATCTGTATAGTTGCTATATCTATTTAAACATATTGTGCGTCTGGAAAAAGAAAGGAGAAATGCAGTGCAGGGAGCCGGGCACATACGAAGTAATTGGGGGCCCTTAAAAAAGCGAATTTGGACCCCAACAGCGAGGGGCCTGCTACACGATGAGGCTGCAAAAACAGCTGTGCCGCTCCTGCTGCAACTGCTGTTGTTTATGCCGCTACCACAACCGCTGGTCTTCCTACTACAGCTGCGGCAGCGGATGGTGTTGCTGCTGCTGCTCTTGATTTTCCTGCTGCCGATGCTGTTCTTGCTGCTATAGCTACTGCTGAAGCTGCTAGTACTGAAATGAGAAAGTCAGAGTGAATGCACTGAAGAGGGCCTTAATTGAGAAAGAGGGAAAAGTTTGAGCAGAAGGCACGAGGGGTAGAGGAGGTGGCCGGCGAAGAGCAGAGACAGGCACAAGAATGAGCCCAAGAGAACTAGTGCAACAAATACAGCAAACGAAAGCGAATTAATTATATTACTTTGGAGTTGCCGCAGTATTAACACGCAGACAGCTACTATACAGGCCAACCAGCCCCGCGGAGATCCCTTGTGCAGTGAGCAGCAGCAATCTGTGCTGCAACGGGCCGATACACCTCAATACAAAATTGCAAAATATGTTTTAAAAGCCATTATTAACAAATATTTTGCTTGCGTGTTACTCCCAATTTTAGCAGATCACTCGCCCACTGCTGCGCCTGTTTCACAGACACAAGCAGCAGCGGACTCCAGCTCGTTGCTTTTGTTTGTCTGTTTGTTTAAATCCATCAGTTTCATTATCTTGTTCGCTTTTCCATGTATATATGTCATATTTGTACAGTACTTTATGCTCCTTGGTGTTGGGGTTAGTATACTCAACCCAGAGCTCTCTCTACCAGCAGGCACCAGCAGTGACGAACCTTTAAGGCTCCCCCGCCTTTGCCTGTGTCTATGTCTCCTGCCGGTTCTGCCTCTTTTTCTCGTGCCGCGTATTTGTGTGTTTTGCTCCAATGGTGCGCCGTTGGCTGTAAAACAGCAACAAGTGCTGCCACCGAGAATGCTAGTGTGGTTATACGGCGAATGTACATGGTAGCTATGCTATGCCTTTTCCTGTAGAGTACCATGCACAAACCGGGCATTTGATGCTTCCCAGAAACACTTCGCTAGCTGCAGACCAACAGCTGCAGCTAACCGCCTCTTCGGCAACGGCAACCAGCTAGCAACGGTTGGACTGGCCAAAAAGCAGCGGATCGTAACGTAGGACCCTGTGGAATGAAGACAGAGTGAATTCACTCTGTCTCTACTCCACATGTGGAAGTAAACAGTGCGATGGCAAATTACAGCGTGCGCAACGATTATCTGTTCACCCATCTGCCGGTGCTGCTTCGGCAGTCTCGCCGACACGTTTCGCGCTGTTTTGTTGCAACCCCCCTTTGCTTCCTGTCTCTATCTACCCTTCTGTGTCTAGGACGGGCGTACCTCTCAACGTTTGCCACCAACTCAAAACGCAGACTACCAGAACAACTCAACTGTATGCCCCTGTTCATGCGCATGACGAGACAAATTAGTAGTAATAAATAAAAAGCCAATGCCTTTTCTGTCTTCAAGGCCTTTGTCAGTCAACAACAACCACTTGGAGGTATGCATGGATACTTGCAACAACCCCTCCTCTCCTTTCACTTTCATCGTGTTTCATGTTCAAAAATGCCTCTGACATTGCCTGTGACTTCATTTCGCTGTACCTTCGGAACCTCTGGGTGAAGAAGGCCCGAGACGCCAGCAAGTGTCAGTATTTGAATAGATAAAGGGTCAAATATTCCGGCGGACCCTTGCGGAGGGTCAACCAGTGGAGATCAAACTGTTGCAACTTACGATCAAACAACGTCCCGCCTCGGTCTGCGTCTTTGCTCAAACACCCAGCAGAAGCCAGTCTGACACTGCCCGCTGCATGCAGCACTGTTCGCGTCGAGATGACGCTAAAGCTGGCCTTCCTGATGATGCTTCTGTTGCAGCGCTGCCGCACGGCGAATGGGGGCTGTAGTGTGTCCCTCGATTGGTCGTGTTAATCATTCTTGTATCTCAATCATCGTCTTCCTTCTTTTTGCTTTTCTTCTTCGGGGGGTTAAGGATATCTCGCTCGTCGGGGCCTAGCACATTTTGATCCGACGGTTTGAGACCGGTTCTGGCCTCAAACTGCATCCGTGTCAGTCTTGCATCAGCCAGCTTCTGTCGCTTTTTGTTGTGTCGCCTCATCAGCCAGGCGAGCAGGGCTGTAGCTCCCCCTACAAGAGCCGCTGTTCCTGCGCCCCGCACCAGCCGAGCTGCAGCAGGATTCTCTGCTAGGCCTCCTGCATTCCCGTGGGCTCTTCCAAACTCTGCTAGACCCCCTGCAACGATCCCCCCAATGCCCCCCACAATGCCCAGCCTCTCCCACCAATCCTTATGACGCTCCGCACGCATAAATTTGTCGTATTCTTTCTTCCCTGCACATTAGCAGCAAAAAATAGCCACCTCATTGAACAAGTAATCTAAGACGAGCTCGACACAACGAACTAGAAGGCGCCGAAACGGTTGCAGAAACTGGCACATACACGCATGCATGCAGGCAGGAACTTTGGAGCTGTCCATACACACATGCCAACGCTAACGAATAACTGCAGTGAAGTGTCTTACGATACAATACGATTGTTGTGCCAATAAGCAAACGCTAGGGGGGAACAGCGAATGAGCCAAGAAAATCTGAAGCGGAGACACTTTACGGAGAAAAAAACGTACATAAATCTGTCTCTTCGAGTTCTTCGGGTGTATAGCCGGCTACCTCCTCCTCCTGCTGCTTCTTGACTGTGAATTTAGTAAACACACAAAAGAACCAAAAAACACGCCAGCAAGCACTTGCACTACACTTCCCTAATATACGACAGCGTGCACTCCGCTACTAAGCAGAAGCAGGGGTTTCCCCTAAGAGAGAGCACATGACACAAACAAAAGAGTACCACCGGTAAAGTGTTACATGCAGAGGGCGGCAGTGACAGCAGCTGTTGCTGCACCCTACATATGGACCTGACTTACTTTGTTGTCGTTTGTATTCTTTGCTGTCCTTGAGAAGGTTCTTTATGTCGTGCTTGAGCTGCAGGAGATTCTCTTTTTCTTTCTGCAGTTCATCCGGTGACTTGCCTTTCTCGAGTTTAGCTGCTGCTTCTGCTCTTGCTGCCCGCGTGGCAGCTAGCCTGGCCGCCTGTGCAGCATCTTTGCCACCTTGGAGAGTGCATATGCCCAAAAAGAGGCCTATTGCCGCGGCACGCGACACAAAGCCCTTAAATAACTTCATCTCAACTGGCTATTCAATAAACCAACGACGCAGCGCCTCAACCGGGCACGCGATCGCCGGGGCTGTGACGAGTCCTACCTCACCGTAAACCGGAGCAATCTGTGCCCGATACACCGCTTTCCCTTTGCTTTACAATGAAAAGCAGAAAATAATGACCTAGGTGAACGAAAAAACTCACCAAAGAAGCAAAGGTGACGCCGTAAAATTCATGTATCGACACGTCCATGTACCTCGACCGCGGCTGGCGGAGTCTGGCGCGATTGCTTCCTTGCGAGAGGAAGGCCCCACGATCCCACTTGTTTAGAGCTTAGGGCTGTGAGAAGTGGGTTAAAAAGGTTTAAAATACTACTTAGAAGCAATTAATTATTTATTTTTACTTTTTGTTAACCTCTCTGGCGCTTCGGTTCCACCAACATGCATCCAGCATGACAACGTCATCCTATCGCGCGTGCCGAAGTTGGGGCCCTGGGGCCACTACGGGCCGCAGCAGCACAGCAAAGGCTACCGGCTACCGTGGGGGCACGGCGGGACCCGGAGAGGCTCTACAGTTGGCTACATAGTACTTCTTTGCTTCGTTTTCTGCTGTGCCTTTTGTGCTTTTTTATCAAGAGGCCAGCTACTCTTTGAAAAGGTTATTTGCTGATATCCCAAGCCTGCTCGGACCACGTTTGCAGGCGCCGCCCCGCCCCACACGGAGATCACATCGGTATCTTCGGAGTTGAACATTCACAATGGCAGTAAGCGTTTCTTTGGTCACAGCTTTTGTTTTTTCATTTTGCCTCCGTAGGCTTTATGTGTCGATGACAGGGCTAGACCTGGTTGTCACGGAGAGGTCCCCTTACTGCTGTGGGGCGCTGCGAGAGAGTCGTGCGAGTCGAGAGGAGGAACCTCTGGCTTTGCGGTGTATCCGCGCAACGTTGCTTGTTGGGCAAAGAGGATACACTTGGGCAAATGGTTGTTTTGCGTGGACTTAGTTGTGCTGTGTTGTCTTCATTCGTCTGCCGCGACCCACTTTTGGTTGAGTAGCGGAGATTTGCGAGGGGTGTGTGCTCAGAAGGCGAAGGTGGCGCAGCCTGTTGCGAGCGACGACTCGTCTCTCTCTTCCAGCGAAGAAGAAGTGCAGCCGAAGAAGGCCGTTTCTGCAAAGCCAGTTGCTGCCGCTCTCAAGAAGAGAGCCGCTGCCGCTGCGGCTCCCTCGAGCTCTTCGGATGACAGCTCAGACGAAGACCAGCCCAGCGCAGCTGTCGTTAAAAAGGCAGCAGCTGCAAAAGCAAATAATGCCGCAAAAGGAATAACTGCTAAGGCGCAGTCGACGGCCCAGGATTCATCCGATTCAAGCTCTGACGATGAGAGGCGTAAGATGAACACCCACGCTGTTGGGGTGCACGCCGACACAGCTCATAGTTGCCTTTCGGGATTCATTCATTGTGAATTTACTGTCAATGGTTTCTTGTCTGTGTGGCTATATCCAATTGGCACTGTTTTTAATGGGCGCTTCCGTCGCTGATGACAAAGATTTTGCTACTGTTGACCCGAAAAGGGGCTGATATTTTTCCACCAAGATCTCTGATGTCAGGGGACGCCCGAGGTGTAGGTGATGGTGCTTTCGGTGTACGCATATCATATTCCTCCTTTATTTGCTCCTGTTTCATTTTTCTGTTCCTGTTTCATTTTTTTCATGACAAGTTGACTTGGCCGTGTGTGCAGTGTATTTGCCGTCTGATAGTGCACGTCGTGCCTATTTCCCTCCCTGTGTGCAGCCGCCCCAAAGAAAGGCCAGTTTGCTGCAAAAGCTGCAGCCTCTCAGAGAGCTGCTGCTCAGGATTCCGATTCGGACGACTCGTCTGAGGAAGAACCCCCAGCCAAGAAGCCTGCCCAGAAGGCGAAGGTGACAGCTGCACCAAATCAGAAGAAGCCTGCACCTCCCCAGTCTTCAGATTCGGACTCTTCTGAGGAGGACGGGCAGCCAACAAGAAAAACAGCAGCACCAGTCAAAGGGAAGCCCACAGCAGCACCGCAGAAGAAAGCACCTGCTCCGCAGGATTCCGATTCAGATGAGTCTTCTTCGGATGAAGATGCTGCGCCTCCTCCAAAGAAAGCAACAGCACCGTCAAGAGCAAATGCAGCAGCTCAGAAGAAGGCAGCACCACCTTCTTCTGATTCCGATGATTCCTCTTCAGATGAGGAGCCTGCGCCTCCAGCGAGGAAACCAGCGCCCAAGGCAAAGGCAGCGCCTGCATTAGCTCAGAAGAAAGCAGCAGCTGCAGTGCAAGACTCCGATTCAGACGACTCTTCTTCTGAAGAGGACAATCCGCCTCCGAAGAAAGCAGCGCCAGCGCCGAAGGGGAAGTCTGCGGTTACAGCAACACCGCAAAAGAAAGCAGCTGCAGCAGAGGATTCCGACTCGGACGATTCCTCTTCGGAGGATGAAGCCGTCCCAGCGACAAAGAAGCCGGCGTCCAAGTCAGCTGCTGCACAGAGAAAGGCAACTGCAGCAGCAGCAATGTCTGAAGATTCAGATGACTCTTCCGATGAGGACGAAGCTCCCCCAACGAAAAAGCCCGTAGCAGGATTAGCCAAGGGAAAGCCAGGAGCAGCAGCTCACAAGAAGCAGCCCGAGCACGAGGATTCGGACTCCGACGACGACTCTTCGGAGGAAGAAGCTGTTCCTCCACCGAAGAAACCCGCCCCAAAGGCGAAAGCAGCCGCACTTTCACAGAAGAAAGCGGCACCTGTATGTCAAGATTCTGATTCGGATGATAGGTCTTCGGACGAGGGCAACACTCCTCCTCCCAAGAAAGCAGCAGTTCCCAAGGGCAAGGCCGCTGCAGCAGCGCAAGAATCGTCATCCGATGAATCAGAGTCGGAAGCAGAGGAACCTCCAAAGAATGCAGCGCCGCATAAAAAGGGGAAGGCGACTGACGCGAACATGGAGGTGGACGGGGCCTCGAAGAAGAGAAAACAAGCACAGGCGCAGAACGGCAACCAACAAGGCCCCAAGAAGAAACTACAGCTTACAGATCAATCTGCTGCGGCTCGTATGCGCTCCGAGATCTTCTGTGGCGGCCTCCCATACTCTGTAACGGAGGTAGGCAGACGACGCACACAGGGGCAGTGCATCGGGTGCCGCACTGTCATCGTGCTCTCCAGTGTACATACACCCTAGCGTGGCTAAGCAGGCTCCAGCGGGATGCGCCTTGCTGCAGTAGCAGCAGATTTCGTCATCCCTCCATTTAACCTGCTATAATTATCGACGCCAGTTTGACCCGCAGCTGACTTCCTTGTGTGTCGCTGCGGGATAGGAGGCTCAAAAAAGCAACAGTGGCAATTATTGTTTGTCTCTAGATACACCGGCAGAGTGTTGTGCATGCCAGTTCTCTATATTTGTTGTTGGCTTGTGCTCTGCATCTGATCGCAGGAGCAGCTGAAGGATCTCTTTGAGGCAGACTGCGGCCCAACGACACGTATCAAAATTCTGGAGGGGAAGGGCATTGCCTTTATTACCTTCGCGTCGGAGGAGGCTGCAGCGAAGGCGGTGGAGTTCAATCAGACAGAGTATGAAGGCCGCACGCTCCGCATTAACCTTTCAGCAGACAGGCAGCAGCAGCAACAAGGCGAGCGTAGGCATGAGGGGAAGAATGGCGCCCCCAGAGAAGATCGACCGAAAGCGGACCCTTCCAATCAAATTGTTTTGCGCAATTTGAGCTTCGATACAACCGAAGACACCATTCGGGAAACGTTCGGCGAATGCGGTATGTATGTACTATAAGTGCTATATTGTTGCAGGGACGCTGCAATTCGGTGTAGTGTTTGGGCTACTGCACAACCGCCGCCGCACTAATTGCCTCCTTGGTTCAGAAAGGCAACTTCGCAGGTTGCTCCCTCTTTAGTTGTTTAGTATTCGTTCGTTTTCTGTCTTAAATATCAGGAGAAATCCGCGCTGTGCGGATCCCCGTATTCGAAGATAGCGGGAAGCCTCGCGGACAGGCTTTTCTGGAGTTTGATTCGGTAGACTCGGCGACAAAGGCTCTGGAATTTAACAATACTGAGTTGGACGGTCGCACCATTTGGGTGGCCTATGCACTGCCGAGGGGCGCAGGTGGAGACAGAGGAGGCAGAGGAGGCAGGGGTGGCAGGGGCGGGGCTGCCGGAGGACGCGGAGGGGGTCGCGGTGAGTAGCTAGTCCTCTGTCACATATGTTACTGCTGTTGGTCAAGTGTTAGTGACCCTTGCACATATAGCGCTATAACCTCACGGCAAAGAATGCATTGCTTAGACGGGTGCAGCAGAGGAGTTGGTGGCCACTGCATGATACAGCAGCAGCCGGTATGTTGCGCTTTTGTTGTTGCGGATTGTTGCAGGCGGTGGCCGTGGCGGATTCCGTGGGGGCCGGGGAGGCGGTGCTTCTTCTGCTAAGGCTGCGAATGCGGGAAATGTACAGGAGTTCCAAGGGAAGAAGACTACATTCGAGGACAGCGACTGATTGTTGCGTTTGCTGTCATGTGATGCGGCGGGTGTTGAAGTGCAGCACCCCAAAAGCTCCATGTGCCGGCGAGGTGAACAATTATTTTCTGTTTTCTGCAGCGGCAATCCTCTGCTCTTTAAGTTATGCGGGCCCGCGAATTGTGACAGCCCTCGTATGTAAGCAGCAGGGCGACACGGCGGCTCTGTGCCTGCGCTAGAAGTTCCCAGCCGTTGCCCTGTTGCATGCATGTAGCTATCGCATGCAGCACAAGACCGCAATAACAGCATAGCACGCCTCATCAGGCTCGGAACTGGGCGCTTTCCACGACCTAACTCTCATATGCTACCATACCATCATCGACATTTAGTTAGCATTTTTAATTGGGTCTGTCTGCCACCCGTAACGAGAGTTTAATTAGGCTTCACACCATGATTCAAAAGGGGCTCTTTTACGGGCTTGTGCTTATTCTCTTGCCGTCGCCACCATCCCCCATTTGGGCGGCAAGGAGTCAATGCTTAAAGCAGACCGAATAGCGTTGTTGTAGTAGCTGCGGCGGTCGAAGTGCTGGCTGCTTTTAATCTCCCTATGGAAGAGTGCCGCACAGAGGAAAAATTCGATGAAGTGCGCACAGGAGAGCAGGGCGACGAGCGCCCAGACGAAGCTGAACTGGGGGCGGAAGACGCAGAAGAGAGCAGCCTCTGATGCTGCTCTATCCGTCTGCGGCATCGGGAATGCTGAGTAGTTGCAGACCATCTGCAACGTTGCGTGTTCGAAGGTCATTGCGAAGAAGGAGACGGCGTTGGTGAAGAAGAAGATAAAGTTCACTAGCATGTTCATAAAGGACAGCAGCTGAGAACGCAAATATGACAACCAGACTGTAAAAGCCCCAGTAGCTAAGTTGCTCGCACCTAAGATGTAGCCCCCCCACTTGAGGGCGGCGAAGAAGAGGCCCAACTGCACCACCATCGGCTGCTGCAGGCCGTCTGACCCATGCAGCGCTGTGTCCATCGTCTCCAGCATCATCTGGCTACTCTGCCCCCCAAACATAACCGTGAGACAGAGCAGAAAGCCGGCCAGCATGAACTTGACAGCCCCCACACCCAGCAGCGCCGCCCACAGTCGCGTGTATCGCTGGAAAACCAGCAGCGCGGTGCTGCATGCACAAAGCGCCGCCATCGCAACGCACGCGCGGGAGAGGCCGACTTGCTTGCACATGTTGGCTGACGCGGCGCCTACAGCGGTGTTGTCTGCTCTGTGCACCGCATTGATGTCGAGGCGTTCTCTGTCGCAAAACTGCTGCGTAAAGAACAGCACAGGAATGAAGACACCAACACAGGCCCCTACCCATGCGGTGCAACAGGTCGTCACCCGCACTTCTTCAAGGAAAGCCTTGCGTGTGCCTTTGAGCAGCGCCTGACAAGTGTAGTAGCAATTGCCTGCCATCGGCAGCAGAACCAGCACCAGCCCCGCCACTAGCAGCCCAGTTATCGACTCGTATGCCACCAGCCCTGCTGCAAAGCCCGGCGCAGCTCGCAGTAACACAGGGAAAGCAAGCAGTCCTCCTCCCCCCACGCATGCACCCATGTCTATGCAGGAGACAGCACGCCCCATGCGGCCTAAAGTTGTCAGCACCACCACCAGCAGACCCAAGGAACACCCAATGCGCAGCGCAAGTGCACACAGGAAAAAGCGCCACAAAACCGATCCCCTAGCCAACCACAGTTTGTTGTGTTTAGACTCATCCAGAACCACCTCCTCCCCCACAGAGACGGTCCGTACTACTGCAAACGTCTCCTTCCCCTCCTGTAAGGGAGCCTTGCAGCCGTCTCGGGGCCGCCAACTGCTACTACTCTGCTCCTGAGCAGCAGCAAACTGACCCCCTGAAAATGCCTCGGTGCCTCCAAAGGCACGTAACCCCAACACGTTGCTGCTGTTGCATGCAACGGTGCGCATACGGCAGCTGCCTGTGGCGCCGCTGCCTCCAGCCAACCGCCCCATGGAGCCCTCTCCCGGTCCTGCAGGCAACGGCATTGGGTCCCAACCGCCGGCATCATGTTCCTGCTCTTCTTCTTCCTGTTGCTCCTGCTGTGGTTGCTGATGCGGATATGATGCATTCTGCGGCGTAGCTTCGAAGACACCCGAGGCCGCCGCCATGCGGCTGTCCGGCTCGAAAGCGTCTCCAAAGGCTCCTTCGTCGGACTGCAGCAGTAGCCGCTGCTGCTGCTGCTGCATCCGCCGCGTCTGAAATGGAGGCACTGCAGAGCTCTTAGATTCATCTGCGCTTTCCTGGGCTGAGATGGGTGCCCCCCAAAACCCGCTAGCTGCTGCGCCGTCACGGGATGAGCCTGAACTTGCAGCTCTGACCCCCCAAAAGGAAGGTTTTGAATCGCCACTTTGAGAGACGGGAAAGGGACCCGAATAAGAAGGCTCTGAAGGAGAAACATCAAACTCATGCCCTCTGCTGCTGTTGCTGCTGCTGCGTAAGCGCGTCCTGCTGCTCCTCACGTTGCTGCGCCTGCTATTGCGAGATGCCCCCCTTCGGGGGGCATCCTCACGCGATATCTCTATTGAAAATGAACTGCTCATCCTAACATACTCTTGCTAGTAACAAGATTGCTGCTGCTGATGATGATGTGGTTCGTTGGTAGCCGCAGGGAAAGCGGTAAATTCCTTGGGGGTCTTGGCCACTGCCTGGCCAGCAAGACGGTCCTCCGTTTCTGGCCCTCCATGCGAGACGCTACCCTGACTCGTTTTGGTTGCTATAATTCCGTCCGTTCTTCGTCACCGCATTATTCTCTTTTTCTAGGGCAACCCGCTACCACTGTGCGAGGGAGAGGCCCCAGTTTCTGGCCTCGCCCGCGAAAAGAATGCGTAAACGAGTGATTTCCAGGGGGGAGAGAAGGCGGAACAGCGAAGAAGGAACCAGCCAGCATCGTTTACAGAAGTACAGCTAGCAGCAAACACAACAACGCGCAACCGCCGCTGACGCTTCGGCGTTGCTGCTGCTGCAGCTGTCTAGGCCTCTGGCAACCTCACCAAAGGTCTATTGGCCTAGAAAAGAATCAATTAGCTGGCAGTTCCAAATAAGCAGGCTTACCTCAGGAAAGTGCTGGAAATAATGTCAGAGAAGCCGAAATTCGTAGGATCGTCAGTTCAACCTCCAGTTGTGTTCATCTCGAGGCGCTAGCCTCCTTCTCGTCTACCTATTGAAAACCTTTAAAGATATGACGCGGCACTTTCCTAATATTTTTAACATAAAAAGGACTCAACGGGAAAACCACAGAAAAAAGGAGAAGTGGAGCGGACCGCCCAGGGAAAAGCCCGAAAGGTGAATGCATGCGATCGCAGGCCGCGCCACCGCCTGTGCGATGCAGTGACGACTACGAGAAAAGATGGCTATTAATCCTCTTGTTCACCACATTTTGTGAGATTCTTGTGAAATTGTGACATAATTATGCCAAAAGGTTTGGCTTTGCGCACTGATACGCAGCAGCGTGAAATTAGAGGTGTACGTACACTGTGGTCTGTGCAGAGCCCACTAGACGCGTAGTCCACCGCCCCCCCCGGTGCACGAATTTCAGGGAAATCATGGGATGAACGTTTTGCTTCTTCGTATCGTTTTTAGTAAATCTGTATTTTTAAAGAGTTGAGTCTGATGTCGAAAGGGGATATCCTCAGTAATATGCAGTTTCAATCCAGCGGACTACACGCCTCATGGTGCGCGCTCTGTCGCAAGCGCAGCCAGTCGACATTTTGTGTATTTCTACCTCCGCCGAGGTAAGCAGCTTCGCGGGGTCAAGTGTATGTCTAACACGTGTCTAGGTATTACGGTATGCATTAAATGTTGTCGTGGATTTTTCGCTTGCACGTGTTGTTGCTCCATGCGGCGAGGACCCTCGATCTATGCTGAGAGCCGTCGTGAGCTGCATAACTGTAAAAGCACTGTAGATGAGACCTCCTTAAAAATAGCTTTAGCCAATTCTCTATTCTCCAGGGCTTATGGGCAGACTGGCCCACGGTCCTGTGCCTGGTGCGGAGGGTAGTCATACTGTGTTGTAAGATGCGTCTTGCCGCAGCTCACGCTCTAAAGCAGGTCCACATGGAAAAAGGAGAAAGGTCCTCCAGCTTCATTCACTTAAATTTTTAGAGTTGTTAAACACTTACGTGCCCACATGAGCAAGCCTGTGTTCTAGTAGAATGCATGCACCGTACTTTGAACGGAGTACGCAATGCAACATCGATGGTTTGCTCCTACTGCCTGCCTTCCAGTAAATATCTAGGCGCAGGTGTGTCAGGCTATTGCTTCACATCTATGCACAAAACATTGGAGGCCCTTAACCTTCACTTTTCCAAGGTGCAACGAAAGATGCCAAAAGCCCTATGATGGAGAACGGTAGGATATCCAGTGGTCAGCCTCAGCCCTCTGCGCTGTATACTCCCCCCGCCCTTCGCGTTTGTAAATACGTCCTTCTTTGCTCTGGACCCTGTGCTGGGCTGGGCGTATTTCCTCGCGCACATCCAGCCAGTTTGATAGCGCATTAGACCGCTACTAGCTATAGGGAGTCGCTGTACCTTGGCGACTGAAGACTTAGTTATCTAGCCATAAATGACGCTGGCGATACCCGTTGTCAACTGGCGTGTTCTATAACCAGCTATATAGCAAGCTCCCTACCTGTTCAATTCGCGGTCTGCCCGTTCTAGCTAGCCCATTATATATGTCTGAGGGGAGATGTCTATGGAGTGCGGTAGTGGGTGGCTGGGATGGGGTGCTGCTAAAAGGCGTTGCTTGAAGGGCACATTTTGAAGGAGACATAACAACACGAGGTTCAAGAAGGGTGTTACAAGGAGGGTTGATGATAAATGCCTCAAAGAGAATCCCTCAGTAAACGGAACTGAAGGAAGGGCTGAAGAATGAATCACACGTATCAAGCAGGCATTAAGACTAGGGGTTAAACAGGACAGCCTAAGATGCCGCTAAATCCGAGGCGTTCGTTAGGCGGTCTCGCCTGTTGAATGCGTTGCAACAGAGTAATGAGGGCCTCGTTGAGGGCCTCTTCATCAACTTGGGTTTTACCTTTGCGTACTGCTTTGAAGACGCTCTCGTTGAGGAGGTTTTCAAGGTCGGCGCCGCTCAGTCCTTCCGCTGCTGCAGCAACCTGTTTCAGATGTCTGCGTGCTGCGCTGCTGAGGCTCAGTTTCTTGAGAGTTGCATGCAGCTGAAGAATCTCCAGGCGTTCGTCTTCGTCAGGCAGCGTCAAGTGAATGAGGCGGTCAAAGCGCCCTGAGCGGAGAAGGGCGGGGTCGATGGCTTCGAGCCTGTTTGTTGCAGCAATTAGAACGACGCCTGCTGCTGCGCCCATCACACCGTCGATCTCTGCTAGCAGTTGATTAATAGTTTGAATGTACTCTTGGTTTGTGGCTTGTGCGCCTTCGAGGCAGCCGCTGCGGCAGCCCAAGGCATCCAGCTCGTCAATGAACACAACACACGGCGCTCTTTCCCTCGCATCTCTAAACAACTCTCGAACGCGGCGAGCTCCTTGCCCCACGAATATGTCAGTAAATTCCGAAGCCGCAGCCGAAAGGAAAGCGGCCTGCGTCTCGCCTGCAACCGCACGAGCTAACAAGGTCTTCCCTGTCCCTGCTGGGCCTACCAGAAGGACACCACGAGGCAGCCGTGCCCCCATGGAATTGTACAGCCCGTGCTTACCGTTCAGCAAACACACGATCTCCTGCAACTCTTCTTTCTGCCGAGAGATAACTTCATCAAAACGCGTCGGAGGAGGGGCCCCTGCTGCTTCTCGCTCCGTCCCGCTGTCGCGAGTTGGCTGCTGCAGCAACAGCAGTCCCCGAAGCAGCCGGAACCATAATCCCATCAGCGCCAGAGGCGCAACGAATGAAGCAACGGCAGGCAGGAGGCCTCCCCCGTGCACTGCTTTGAAGCGCGGGACTCGCGAAGAGACAGCCTGGAAAAAAGCAGCTTCTGCCCCTGGCACCAGAGATGAGACAACTTTCTTTTTGTCCTTTAATTCCAGCAACAAACGCGATCCTGGGCCAAAATGAACTTCTTTCACAGCGTTTCTCCCCACCAGATCAAGTACTCGAGAGAAAGGCTCTTCAGTAGCAGCAGACGTTCGCGGCCATCTCCAAAGCCTCCAGAAAAAAAACAGCCGCCACAGCAAAGGCCCGTGGGCTGTTCGATCCCTTGTTGCATGCCAACCCGAATGAACAGGCACCACTTCAGGCCCTCGTGATGAGACATTGGAAATCATCCGGCGACCCCCACGCAGGCGCCAGAGACGAGCTCCCAGTAACACAAGAAGAAGAGCCGCACCGCCAACCTTGAAGGGCTGGCAGCGGAAGTTCTTTAGTGGACATAATTTGCTGCTGTCCAGTGCTTGAAGAGAACGACACCAACGGCAAAACACAGAAGTGAACAGTTTACCGATACAACGCACGCATAGCGCCTTTAGATGAATCAAATGCATCCAGAAAGTGCTGCGGGACGGCGGAGGCAAGCTGACCAACAACTCCTCTTCACGCTCCTCCCAACCTGTTTCTGCATCCTCAAACCCGCCTCTGGTGCTGCTAATGCCACTGTTACTGTTGTTTGTCCTGTCTGTTTCAAATAGGCTGTACGAGTGCTCTTCTGAAGGGTGGACTAGGGGGTGGTTGGGCCCGGCCCCAGGATTAACGGGGAGGCGGGGGGGGAAGCCTCTCATCTGCTGTTAACCTCTGCAAGGATAATCGAACCAGCAATCGGTGTATAGGAAAGGCAACGAGAAGCATACAGAGAGACAGGAAGGAAGAAACAGCTGAGGAAGAAATCGACCACAATGTGCCCTGAGATCGGCCACTCACCCAAATGGCAGGGAGACCGTGGACTGTTCGCCCTCTTCGAAGATATACGCCCAATAATCATATTAATTCCATTAAAATAAAGGGAGGTGTGGAAGTACACACCGTAAGAAGGTCAGACAGTCGTTGGGTTGTCTACGATCCGATCACGACGCAGTCGCGAAGTATGCAGCACACCTGCAGGTGTGTGCGCCCTTTAATGCAGCCATATGAAGGTCCATAATAGCGAATCCCCCAACAACAACACCATCTGCTATAGAACGAAGCATTAACTCTATTGGGTAGTGCAGCATACAAGGAAAGCCCGAAGGTCAGTTCCTGCGGCTCGGCGCTCTCTCTAGATCCGCTGCATGCATTAACCTGTCGGCGCTTCAGGACCTTCCTGTCATGCCAAACTAAGAAAGTCAAACCCTCGAACGTGAAGAAAGAGAAATATAGGGAACTGCTTTAATGGCTAGTATTTCTTTTCTACCCTTCGGCCCCCCCCTCGTGCATGCACGCATCTTCCGATGGCCAGCAAAGCTGATTGCCTCAAGAAGTACCTCAGGGGTGCCCGAAAGCCTCAGGGGCCCCCTTCAGGTGCTCAGGGTGGTTTAAGACTGGGAGAGGATGAGGAGTTGGACCTGCGCCCAGCGCGACGGAGAGGGGGTCCCTCAGCGGCTCGCGGGGGGCAGGGGAGGCGGACGCTGTTTACTGTGTTGCGTCAAGCAGAAGACGGCGCCAGGTACTTGTTTAAAGATGAAAATGCATTGGAGATGGAGGACGAGGATCTGCTGGGGTCAGATCCCGAGGAGGTGCGGGTTGTGGGGGAGGACGGGCAGGCCCTCGTGCTTAGTGAAGCAGACAAGGCGAAAATCAACGAACTTATTGCAAGAGAGGAACAAGAGGAAGACGAGGATGTGCAACACAGAGGGGTTTCCGCCGCCCTCCTCAGAGGCCGCAGGGTTCGATGTCGTGCACGGGGGGGAGCTGAGGCCCCCCTTCCAAAGGACAACAGCAACAGCTGGAAGGAGGCTTTCGCGTTAGAGGGGCCCGTTGGTGAGGTGAGATCTTCTTATCTGTCTGCTGCTAATCCTTACGAGGAGCGCGAGAGGAGGCGGCTGGGGTTGCAGGCAGGTGGAGAAGGGACACAGATTGAAGAGCAGGAGGAGGGAGTTGCTGCAGCACGTCAGGACCCAGGAAGTAGAGACATCTCTCTCCCAAGAGGAAGAGCAGATGCCGAAATAGACATCTCTCCCCCAAGAAGAAGAGCAGATGCTGAAAGAGACATATCTCCCCCAAGAAGAAGAGCAGATGCAGACAGAGGCGTCTCTCCCCCAAGAAGAGCAGATGCAGACAGAAACATCTCCCCCCCAAGAAGAGCAGATGTAGACAGAGACATCTCTCCCCCAAGAAGAAGAACAGATGCTGGAAGAGACATGTCTCCGCCGAGAAGAAGAGCAGATGCAGGCAGAGATATCTCCCCCCCAAGAAAAAAAGCAGATGCAGACAGAGATATATCTCCACCCCGGAGGCCCCGGGGGGGTCCTGAACCCATTCTGCTCGCAGGGCCCCCCACGGGCGGCGGAAGAGCTTCCTCTCTTCGTTTAAACTCAGCGCAGGAGGGGCACCAAGGAAAGCAGGCGCAAACATCTTCTTCAGGAGAAAGAGACATCTCTCCACTACGTCCTAACGCAGGCGGGGAGGTAGAAAATATGGAGGAGACGAGACAAGAGTAGGCATCTCTTCTCTGCTGCTCCCTTTGGCAACTGCAAACCCTAAACACAAATGCAGGAGCTTGTCGGTGCCCCAAGACGCTACGGGGGGAAAATTCAGGTACCCTTTCGGCCATTCTTGAGCCCCACCCAAACAAGGATGAGGACAGGGGTTTCGAATTTTAGGTTTTGGGACGTTTTAGAGCTTGCGCTGCGTGTGTTTTTAATCAGATATCCGGGAGACCGCAGACCTACGAATCGAGTTGTGTTTCGAGACAGAGAGGGAAGAATCATCTCTGAAGAGGAATGGCTAGCTCTCGAGGTGCTCTGGGGATTAGGGTTTAGGGTGTAGGCTATGGGGTCCGTGTGTGTGTATGTGTATGTGTATGTGTGTGTGTGTGTGTGTGTGTGTGTGTGTGTGTGTGTGTGTGTGTGTGTGTGTGTGTGTGTGTGTGTGCGTTCTTCTTTGACGCCTCGAAACATGTATGTGCTGCTGCGGCTTTACAGGGAGAAAAGGGGAGAAAAAAGCAAAGGGAAAGGGGGCCGGCGCCGGTATGCCTCCAGGGTCTTTTTCTGTTTTGAGCTGCAGTAGGCTCGCGTTGTTGGTGCGGCGGTTTCTGCGTTGTTGGTGCGGCGGTTTCTGTGTTTGGTACACCTTGCTGTGCCTCCTGGTGTCCTGCGATTGGGACTGCAGGTTTTGGAGTGGGGAGCGGGTCTGAAGCAGAAAGAAGACAGAAAGGCGAGGCAAAGAGAAGAAGAAAAAATAGCCAAACAACCGTTCGCAAGGTGCAGAAGATGCAAATATATGTTGCTTGCATCAGAAAATATTTAGTGTGCTAATATATATTCTGTATAAATGAAATATTGTACATTCTATGCAGGGCATATTGATTGTTTTGTTGGTTTGCGTAATGTCTTCATCAATGCAAATCCAGATAAATACATACACGTAATAAAGCATCATGTATTCGTCATTTAGTATTGCAGCCGTACACGTGTGCAGGGGAAACAACTGCGTGCTGCGTGTAGTTGTGATATTAAATTATGTAAGCTGCGGCCTATGTTTTATGCCAGAATCCCCACGTGAGAGGGCCGGGAGAAGCCAGCAATGCAACCAGTGTATATATATATATATATATATATATATA